CCCCCTTTTCCTGAGTTCTCTTAGCTTTCTTTGCCCTCTTCGTCGCCGCCCTGCTGTCCAAGTCCACTCCCAGTTGCTGAGCTTCACACTCCCTTGTTGAATATTCATGAGCATTCATGCAGCCATTTGCCACCATCTTTCCTCTCGTGTGCTCTTTCTTTTGTCTATCGTCTCTTTCAAGAACATCTGTTGTAGAGAGATCAGTATCTGTACCTTCATCTGTAGTTAACCTCGGCCTTTTGTCCTCGTGGCCATCTGTGACCACTTTCCTATCACTGGTGTCATCTTGAAAATGGCCAACAGAGGTACCTTCACCGTGGGTTTCTTCAAGGGACCTTTTCTTCAATTTCCGCCTCTTTCCTTTTGTCCGTCGCTTCCTTCTCTGCCCCTCGTCCCCTACCGAGTCGCCTTTCAGCGATGGTGGCTGTCCGTATGCTCTGGCATCGTCTGGAGTGGAATGCCAACCTGTTGTTTCAACATCCTTGGGCGGCTGGGGCTGATAACGACCTTCCTCTTGGGCCTGGATGCGTTTCAGCTTCCCCGAGAGATGCAGGCCATGCCTTGCTCCCCTGCAGAATCAAGGACAACATCGGCATTACTGGGACCCCTGCCCATCCAACCAAACTCTGTGCATGGTTTTTTTCCCCATTTTTGGAATTAGCTACAATTTCATCAGCAAAGCAGAAACTCGTAATAAACTGACTTTATTTCTGCACATTTCAGCAAAACAGGACGCATTAATTTTGTTTAGCTAGTGCTAACTCTGGACTTCCACTTCCGTGTAAAGCACGAGTGGTAGCAGAACTACCTGCAAAAGATTTGTGAAAATCAAGCAAACTTCAGTCTTCAGTTTGCTGAATGTTGAAAAGCAAATGCAAACTACTGACACTCAGTGAAATGACTGCTGACAAATTGGATTCAAACTGGCTGAAGGACACCAGAAAGTGTAGTGGTCTAGTGATAAAGATGTCTGCATGAGTTAAAAAGGAGGTCGTGGGTTCAAACTCCATCTCGGCAAGCTTGCAACGTTTTCCTCACTCGCCGCCCTTCAAAGTCACTGAACACTGAGCGTACATTATTAATCAAACTACACTGGCCAGCAGAATCTCATTAACTACTTGTGGGTGCAAGTGTCCAGTAAATGAAGACATGAATTTTTAAAGAAGTTTGAAAACAGAAAAAAAAAATGATAATTATCCCGTCCCAGCATCATCAACATTCATGAATGCCCCCCCCCCCGACGCAAAGTGGTTAAAACATAAAATGCTCACAGAAAAGTCCCTCCAATTTTGATTGATGAAATCTGGGACTCACTTGTGAGCTGTCCGGCCACCGCAGGCCTTGAAGAATCTCTCGTCAATATTCGTCTCCTCCCGACTGCCTGTACCACTGCCATCCTCATCTGAAGACGACAGAGAGGCGTCCTCGTCTTGGGGCTGCAAGCCTTCAGCAGTCAAGGTGGAGCTCTTGACGAAGTTGCCGTACAGCAGCAGTTTCTTGGCCCTTTTGCGGGACGACTTCTTGTTGCTGATCAAGCCTTGGGTCTCCTCTCTTCTGGAGAGCTTCACACCATCCTAACAATGAAACCACAAACACAATGGTGTGCTTTTTCTTGTCAAATCCGTCTTGAAATTTAGTGCAGAATACATTCATCGGGTCAGTGCTAAAAGGTCATTACAGCAAATTTTTCAAAAATGAAAATACTCTTAGGATCTTACTCTGGGATGGGCATGAAAGAAATGTATTGGAAGAGATTTGCTTTACTTTTATTTATTAAACTAGTTTTCTGGGGCATATATATTTAAATTTCAGCAAGTTTTCTCACCCGATTTCATGTTTAAAATAGCATTTTTCAATAAGGACCTTTAATGCAATTTTTCAGTAAAGGACCTTTCAGCACTGAAACGACGCATTTTACAAGAGTTTTTAAAAGGATTTATAGAGCATAATTCCATTTACTGGATGCATAACACTTGGAACCTTAAAATTTCGTCTGTAAAAAGTAACCATTTTCTCCATGTTGAGGGAGGGATAACTTGGCTTTTGAGAAATATAACTGGACTTATTCTTGAAAGTTGCATGAGCCAAACATTTCTGTACTGAGACGATGCATATTTCTTAATACACACAGGCTTGTCACTTTCATCCATATTCCTGGTTCAACACACACACGCATAAATGGTCTCTATTTCAGAAAGATACCTGGTCAGTCTGGACAACAATGTTACTGGCAGCTTTGTTGAAGACGTGGTCCCACCAATGGTACGTAAACTGCTCACCGGGGTCATGGCCAACCTGTGAATGCAAGTCAACTTAGCAATCAAACAAAATGTTCTGCAGAGGAAATTATTCTCTAAATCATGTAGGTTGCCGTTGGGAATGGGGAGTTGATATGCAGGATTGCTCTGCTTAACTTGTTGGAAATCGTCCCCAACCGTGGAATTAGAAAGAATAAGTGGTCATCTGTACTGTGCCGCCAGATCCACTGATGGGAAGGCCATTAACTGTGCAAACGCACTGAACACGGCCAATGATGGAACTCTTAAACAAATGTTTCTCTTGCTTTATTTTTCAAATCATTTTGGGGAGGAGTATTGTACATGCACGTTCCTATAAGGCCATAAGAATGAATATCCAAAATGATTAGGAGAATGATTCTTTTCCAAAACAACATTACTTCAGAAAAATCGTTGTTTTTCCAGCCGGGAATGGTTAAAAAATGGCTGCAAAGTAAAACGGGAGTTCGTAGTGTGCCTGCGCACAAATGGCTTGATGCAACACGGACGCGGAGCAAGTCTACCTTCAAGGTTGGTTCCCGTTGCATGGATGCGTACTCGTTATCAGTGTGCACTATGAACATCGACAAATGTATAACGAATAACAAATAATGAAAAAAAGCCTCATGGGTTTTCAAAATTGTCCGGACGGAAATCGGGGATGTTCATTATCAAGGCCTATGCCAATGGATTTTTTACATCAGGTTGCCCATCACTGAAAAATGACGGCACCTCAACTTCTTAGGTACCTTCAAGATGCATGTACTCTGTCACATGCGGCAACCTGACAAAACAAATTTAATTTTTGTTGGGGGGGGTCTAATTACCCCGGCAGTGTCGTGCTTTATCTTGACTTTGATGGCCTCACTGATTCCTGACTCTGTTCTGCCAAGACCTTGACCTGGGTACATGAAATGGGGGAATAGATTAGACATTGGGTAATGGTGGGCAAACCAAAACGATGGAATGCTGGTGAAGGCTGCTTCAGTGTTGCTAGAATGTCATTGGTTCCTGGTGTTTATGTCTTGTTATTGGTGCAGAATTTCCAGAATATCTGCAAAATTTAAAACCTGAGGAATGTGGAGACAGTTCAACTGACTGTTTTTAATATTTATACTTGAAAAATGGCTGTATACATGGTATATGCCTGCACAGGAAGGGTTCCATATACAGACGCCAGTAATTATTCCCTACAGTGGCCCATTAGCCATAAGGAAGCAAAAACATGTCCAGGAAAGTTCAATTTAGGACGAATAAAAACCAAGTTGTTTACTTGGAAAACCAGTCTCATCGGGTTTGTGCACAGAGTGTCGAGCGGTGTCCATACTCTTTCCGCCTGCACTCTTTGTGGGTGATTGCAACACACTGACACATTTTTTATCACCTTACAGTAATAGGGTAAAGGTGGGGATATTGGACCACATAAGAAAGGCAAGAAATTCGACCAGCTGTGTAGTTTTTAATGCAGTTGGTCGAATTCTCCTCCTGGTCAAAAATTCCTGCACTTACCCTATAAATTAATAACACAGACTTAAGAGTCACATAATCACAATGTGAATGTCAGTTATCTGGGGGGTATGGTCCAACTAATCATGGTCAAATCACCGTCAACACATCATAATAACGTCAACTGGTCAAATGGTACTGCCCGTTGACTTTTAAGTTTTAGAAGACCTACTGTACTATCGGCGTTCATTACCATTAGCACCCTATTCCTATTATAAGGAAAACAAAGTCCACTTTATCAAACTAACTAACATTCAGACCTTGAGGATCCGTTCCTTAATCCAAGTAGCTCTACTTCAGGTAAATTTTGACAATATCTAAGCAAGAAAACCAGAATTTTTTACCCAAGTTCGGCAAAAGACGACCTCATCATGCCATCTTAATTTTGTTTCACATCTTGTTACCCGAACCAGCCAATGTGGATATACCGAATTTCACAAAAGAAACTTTTATTGTTCCAGGTAAAGGAACCAGACTACAAGTACTGATTCGTCTTTGTTCATACATGTCGCATCATCATGATAATTTACGCTGCCATTTACCATACAATATTGAACATCCATTAAACCAAAGCCTTTCTTTCTTTTCAGATTTGAAAGAGTACATCATCACCAACTTTTTAGGTAAGTTGTACTGAAAAGTTAGACTTTGTTTCCTCATTATAAAAGCAGGGTGCTAATGGTAATGAACGCCCTAGTTTTAAGGCCCTAATCTGACATGTCTGAGCATGCCGAGTAGGCTGGCCTAGGCATTCATGGTTAGGCCCACTTCTCCTTTATTTTAATTCCAGCTATGATAACGAAACTAGACTAAACGTATTCTGTGACATGGCATACAGATAACACAAAGTACAATTGTGAGACTACAACTCTGACATTTACCACTTTTCCATCCGTGTTTTTCAAGTTGCTGCTGAGCAAACTTCGAACACCCGTATGCAGCCATGTTGAAATTTCTTCTCCACGTGGGAAAGGGCGCCACCTTGTGTCAGATCATTGAAATTAATCTTTAAAGAGAGGCGTGCTCGTCGTGCGTTTAGTAATTAAACAGGGCTGTGAAACAAATTAATGTAAATCTAAAACGGAAAATAAGTATATCTAGAAACTTTCTGGTCTTTAGGAATAAAAGATGGAGGCAGGGATGGGTAATTTCCCCCTAAGTTTCCAGATAAGTTGTTGGTTACGGGTTGACATGTCAAACCACGGTCGAACATTAACTAAAACCCGTCAAAAAATGTACCACAGTTGATCACAGTTGTGTTTGGAATGTGGGGATTTTGCGCAGAGAAAAATGGATCAAAAGTGAAGAGTAGAAAGACCACGAAAGGTGAAAGTCGATAAAGTATTTTGACTTGAAAGGTATTAAATATGAGCATCCGGAACTCTGTCACGAAGGAGACAAACCCCATTCTGCTTGAGAAACCAAAATGAAATCAACATACACATAAATCTTTCTTTTGGAGAAAAGCTGTATAAAACTCTTTATTTTCTTTTTTATACATGACCGAAGCTGAGAAAAAAGTAAGAACACAGATATAAATAAGGCATGGAAGAAACAGAAAAAAAAAGATCAACTCTGAGTTGATTAAATAATCACGATGAAAACAGTGATCCATTATTTAATATGTAATATCCACTGAAAATTGTTGTCCCTAAGTATAACTAAGTTGATTATGGAGAATGCTTAGTTCTGACTGTTTTTAATTTGAGACCAACTTGAATACATTTCAAGGGGGACAGTAGATGTACGTGCAGCTTTATGGTGACCTACTTGTGTGATAATTAATACTCTTGTTTATTAAGTAAAGAATAAGTCTCTCAGTTTACATGTAAGAATGATGACGGCTTTTTGTTGCTGAGAGAGTCAGTTTTGTGAGTAGAATGGAAATGAGCATTCTGTCTCTCTGTAGTAATAGCTACAGGGGAAACTAATGTACTGCATTCAGAAAGATTTGTGTCGGAAATTTAGGCTGCGTCCAAATCTCTCCTCAACGGCTAGGTCCAGCTCCTCATTCCATTGGAAATACATGGAGATGTGCACAGACAATAGACCTAGCCGTAGCTATGGAAGCCCCTTTCGGAACAGCCTTGGAAATACATAGAGATGTGCGCAGACAATAGACCTAGCCGTAGCTATGGAAGCCATTTCGGACACAGCCTTAGACTTCAAAAATGACTTTTGTGAAGATGAGAAAACCTATAACCATCTTGATGTACAGTAAGCTCAAAAAATAAGCAAGGAGCATCAGCAAAACTACCCTGTACAAGGAGCTACTGTTTCACCAAAGGGTATAATTCCCACCTTTAACGACAAATACCAAATTATCTCAAATCATGATTTTCATTTCACAAATGTTCCAATGTTCTGCTTGTGCCATAAATGATCTGCCTTGGTCTAGCATGTGGAAAACAAATGGTTGAGAGAGAACTCCTGTTTAGAAAATAAGACTTTCATGAAAATTTTCACAGTTTAACAAAAATTCAGAGTTGAAAATCATAGCACCTTCGTAATGACACCAATACTCTGCCTTGTAACAAACAATACTTTTTGTTCCATTTGTGATTTTTCGTAGATTACAGTTTCCCTAGACATTCTTACATCTTCTGTGAACCCTAAAAATTACCCGAATACTGTTCTTTAGAAAAGTGTACGGAATAAACTTAATCATTTTGAGTGCAACAAGCCGATGCAATTTTGTTGGAAGTTTTTTTCAGAAAGAGTTGTGAAATTTTTTTTGAAAGTTGAATAGCTCCGATCACAACTGTGGGATTTATCTGCTGTTTAAACTGATCCGATTTACAAAAAAAAATTATGAACATTTGTTTCTACAGAACAAATGAATAACATTATCATAAATAGTTATGAACAATAACAAAAATGGACTATCTTTACATATATACAGTTATAATCTGCATAAGCATACAAGTTGTTCACCCAAGTGAGCCAACAACGATTCCACCACTCAGGGATAAGAAAGGAAGGAAAAAACAGTGACAAATATACTTTTTCTGAAAAGCTGCTGTGAACAGTTCTGGTTTTGAAACAGCTCTGTTTTGAAGATAATGATGGGCTGATATCTCCCTTTTTAAAACCCCGAGAGAAATGAGAAAAATGGCTGGCAACTCTTCCCAAACTGTGAGGCTTGGGACCGCAGTGTGGCAGAGCAAAAGCACCACTCTCGCAAAGTGAGTCTCGTCTTTGGTAGCATTCGAGATTCCAATATTACTTTTGAAAAAAAAAAGAAAATTTGTTGGATCGATGGTTAAAAATACTGTACAGCTGTACATTGCATCTTTTTCGATGTACAACAGTTGTTAATGTTTTCCTTGGACAAAATGTCTGTCTTTTCACAGAAACCCACTCTGGCAAGGCGTAATTGTTTCTCCACAATTGATGCATTGGCTGTCTCTTCTCAGATTTTCAAGTCTCTGTCTTCATTGCAATTCTTGTCCAAATGTGCTCCGCCACTGATTTCAGTAACTCAGGTCTGCCCAACATGTGTCCGGGTCTACCATCAGCAACAGTTGCTGAACTGCGACAAACTGTTCAGTATCCATGACGCCGTTCTCGTAAGCAGGCACTGCAGTTCTCTGCTTTGGAGTTGTGATACATCTTGACCATTCGGCTGAGTGCTGTCCTATCTGTACCATATTGTGTCCAATTGTGTCACAAAATTTAAAGGATCTTGAAGCAGCCTTTCCCAAAGTGCTTTGTCCATCAAAGATTTCTCTGTGAAAAACCTTCGTGGACTGCAAAATTTCCAAACAAGGATGCATCTACATCTAGTCTCAAATCTGACCTCGGTAGGAACACAAACCAAGAAAGTGATGATCCTCCCCTTTTCACGAGTAAAAAATATCTGGGTCCACGTTTGCGAGAGTCATAGATGCGCCGTTAGCATCCAAACAAGTTCAGAGAGAAGGACATAAATCTGCTGGTCAATATCTTGACAGATGTACTGGCTCTGTCGGGAAGATTTCAACGCATTGGTCTTCGTGGAAGCACCGTCCGTTGGACAGCAGAGGCACACACTACAGTTTTTCGTCTGTCAAGGCAGACTCAAGGCGGGATGAAGACATTCTTTGGTGGTGGTGGTGGCGGGCAGGGGGAGGGGGGGTGATAGGCAATGACAGACTGGGGTTGCTCTAGAGGGACGTCTCGTTATGTGGCGGCCTGGTGGCTTGGTTCTCCTCCTCCAGTAAGGCTATTCTCTGCTTCAGCATCCGAACCTTGAAGTCAAGGTACCAGACAAGGGACAGAAGGTTAGGGGCTGATGATAAAAATCTCTCACTTCAGAGCAACTATGATGTCAACATTCAGTGCTCACAAGACAATGTGTACACACCAGTGATTAATTCTGCATTATGATCTGCAGTTGAACCTCAATAATAAGAGCACTGTTAATACAAGAACGGAAACTGTTAGGTCCCAATCTCTTGTTCTTCACCGTTTTCATTCCTAATAATACAAGGTTCCTGTTATAACAAGGTCATTTGCCAAATCCGAAGAAACTCTTTTCAACGAGGTTCGACTGTATTGTTACTAGTGAGCTTCGACAGTTGGCAAACAGGAATAACTGGCTACGTGGATGACACACTGTCTACTGGCCAAAGACCAGTTCTACAGTCTGGAAGTGTTCCTTCATTTGCATATTTAAGTTGCTATTTTACCCAGCAGATGACCAGAGCTAGGGACCAGAGTATTTTACCTGTGTGTCGTGCCTCTCCACCATCGCCATCATCTGGGCTTCCAGTTTCTTGAGTCTGTTCTGGTGTTTCTTCTTGGCTTTGTCGTAGGCCGTGACAAGGGCACTGCAAGGGTAGGGATGATGGAGGCAATGATGCATTTATTCACAGGTATCCTTTTTCGGTGGTTACGGACTCTAACGACTAGTTTTGCTTCTAGAAGTTTGGGACCAAAGGCAGATACTTTTACTGTGTTTCTACCTTTTCTGACATATGTAATTCAAACTCATTTCATCTGCCTTTGAAACATCAACAGTTAAGCCTGTGAGCCTCTTTGGACAGAGAACAAACCGAGACAAGACCTAAAACTGATGAAGTTTTTGCAAAATCTATTCTTCAATTTCTCTCCGTTTCAGCTCCAATTTCAACTCCCTGAGGAGAACCCTAATTGATGCTTACAACATTCGTTCAGACGCAGTCCCCATCTCTTCCCACATACGTCCCTGTCCACGCCTGGGCAGGGCATAAACATCTCCACCCTACAAGGCTGCATGACCACCCACCATCTGTAACGCTATCAACCCATGACAAACTCACAAAAAAAATCTGCTTAGCCAAATCGGGTCACCAACCAAAAAAGTCACGGTAAGGCTGCTTGTGAATGGCGCTCTGCAAATTTTTGCTTAGCATGTAAATTTTCAAAGCATGTAATTTTTTTTTTCTAAAAGCAGTATTGTGAAATCTGGTCCGGATCTGGTGTTTGGCAATTACTCCTTAGACGAGAACTCTGTGATACCAAATCAAACCCTCCCCCCTTAACCTGTTGGCTCGCTTCAGGTCAGCGATGAACTCAGCCGACTGCTGGTGCCGCATCTCAGAGCTCTTCTGGAGCTTCTCGATGGTGGCCATCAGTTCGTGGATCTTTGCCCGCAGCTTCTTCTCCCGCCGTGCCATCTCGGCCACGTCCGCCGAGATGCTAGGGTCCTCTAGGTGGCTCAGCTCAGCCAGGGTGACGGAAGGCGTTGAGGTGGGCTCCATGCCGAACTGCTGTTAAAAACAGAACATCAACATAAAATTGCCAGTGGATCCGAGCCCCCCAAATCGTGACACCAATATTCCTTCCCCATCGATATATAATCAGTGCAAGCTCTGTAGATGGTACAGTGTCAGCAAAGGGGGGGCTATTTGCTCTTTGTACGCTGCCGCCATAGGCATGCAGAGCCTCCATCTGGCAGCTTTACATAATAAATATAGCTGGTTCAGCGATTCCCGTGCATGTTGCTTTATATGTAATTTTGGGCGTGCTGCATTAGTTCTTATACCACATAATCAGACAAAGCGATTCTGATGCATTGCTTAAGCTGCCAGTTTGAGGCTCTGCGTGTGAATGGCGGCAGAACGCAAAGAGCGAATTCTGCCACGAACCAACCACGATCGCTCAGTCTGCTCTTGCGGGCAAGACACTTGTAAATAATACCCTCTCCAAGTTCCGCACATAGTCAGCAAATTTGCCGACTAAAAAGAAACCACAACGTGAAAAGCCATACAACCACCAGAACACAGGCATTTGATTTACCCGTGACGGTCAGCAAGTCGACCTGTTTGTGCCTAATACCCGGGGGCCGGCAAATCATTCTCAGTTGCAGCTGTAAGGCTGAAATACTGCTGACGTAAATACAACTCAGTCAGGCTAAAGCATGAAGAACCTGAAGAAAGCCCTTGTGGCAAAGACAAGATCAACGAACAACTGTATTCACACGTGGCCCGGATCATGTACGCGCTAACCACTCATGCCAGACTTCTGAACCCCCTTTTTTTCTGCTCACCTTCGGGCTCCTGGGCACGACGTCTTTGCTTTTCTTTTCCTCCACCTCTGCCTTGAGGTGGTCGATTTGGGCCAGGTAGGCCTGCTCCTGGGCATCCCGGGAGCTCATCTTGAGCTCCGCTGCCTTCTTCTCCTTCTCCAGGAGGTAGAACTGGGCCTTCAGCTCGGCTTTCTCCTCCTGAGGAAGGCAGATGAAAACAAAATCAAGCGTGAAGAACGCAACCTGTAAAACCTCTTTACAATTTTCAGTTGACCAATCTGAATGTCTGCACTTGCGATCTTCTCCCCACAACCAAGCAAAGAGACTTGCCGGCTAGAAAATCCTTTGACTGAGGCAACTATCTTATTTGTAATTTCCTTTCAAAATTACCAGGCTTTTTCCTAATTTCAAAGATAGTTTGACGCACAAACAAGTAACACCAACTTTCTTCATACAATTGCAAAGATTTTAGTTTGGCCAATGCAATGCCATTCAAATCTTACTACCTAGTTTTTGTGACTAGTAACTCTCATTTTTGGGGGACACAGTCACGTTTATCACAATACACCCTTTTAAACTGTTATTTTCGGACTTTCTCTGAGTCCACTCGTAAGGCTGCAGCGAAAGTGGCCCAGAGGAAGTTAAACCAAGTCTCTCCGGCCAGTAATGTGTTCTTGTTGAGTCAGAACAAAAAGACTTCGACGAAACAGATGCAAGGAGATTAAGTGATAGCTGGGCAAAATGTCAAAGCACCGAAGCCACTGGAGAGATTTGACCGATTATCCCCGCCTCGAGGCCCTGATCATCAGTCTTTCGATGAGGTGCCTTGACGGGGCCTAATCCCGGTAATCCTCAACCTTGTGCTCAGACATCCCTATCACTCGGCATCTCACTCGAAGATGTGAAAAAGAAAAAAAAAATTCTGGATTTCCAACAGCGCAAGCTTAAGAGTTTATACAAACATGTTGACATTGGCCAATTATAACATACAACTTGTTTTCCTATTGCTTGATGTTTTTTGTAAAATGCCACACGCGCACGGCTGGTATCTTTAACAGGCGGGCAACTCCGGAAACAGAAACAGCATTTTAATGATTACACTGAAATAACATGCAGACCCTTAGGTAATTTGAGGCTTGCATAGTCCCATGGAGCGCAGTCAACACAGTGACGTGTGTTGTTCAGAGCACAGATGTTTTTCCTTCGGCCATTTTTTGGAAAGACATTCCGACCGGATTAAAATGACTCCGTTCTGTCTAATCAGGTACATATGCCTTTTCAGTTTGTGGCGCTGTATTCTGACTGGGCGAAAGGGAAATTCAGTCTTCTTAGAACAGTAACACAAGTCAGAGATTTTTCAAACCGTCTGCTCTGCTTTAGAGAGTCAAATTTTGATTGGCTGCTAGTGAATCCTACAGTAACATTCTGCAGACTGTGAGAACGGTTCTCTGATTTTCTTCTACGGCAACGAATGTGCTAATGACTGGGTTTACTGCACAGTATTGGAGACTAGCAGAATAAAGAAAATTCATAGAGGGAAATATCCTAATCCCAACCCCTAACCTTCTTGGCGGTATAGCTCAAGAATCTTATTTTCTATCTTCTATCAAATTTCACTGAGCTCACTTATTCCAAACAGACTTACACCAGGGTTCCCGCTGATATGATCAGGGGTTCAATGGTCCAATGCACAACTGAATTTTGTCAAATGACAATTCCCAGAAAAACAGGGTTAGGGTCATTTCCAGACCGTACCTCCCCCAAAAAGAACCCCTTCCTCTTGGTCATCTACCTTGAGGGCGGCGATCTCCTGCATCATGACGGCGTTCTCCAGGTCCAGTCGTTGGCTGTCCGTCTTCAGACACTCCTGGCCTGAGGAAGAGGAGGAGGAAGGGACGGCGTCGATGTGCACGCTCTCCAGCTCCAGCACCGTCAGCCGCACCGCTGCCTTGTCGTTCTTGAGCTGCTGGATGTAGTCCCGCAGCCGCTGCTCGTCCTCCTTGGTGAACTCTGTGTCGCAGCTGCTGGCCGTGGAGCTGGTGGTGCTAAGGGGAGGGGGGGTTTCAAACATCAGAGGTCAAAGGTCACAATCACAGTGGCTACCCGTGGTTGGGTTTTTCTGCTACGTGTAGGTTTTTCCCCCGACCATGGCATGGAAAGAGATATGATTAATATTTGAATGCCATTTCTGCAGTGTGCCCAACACCTGAAGATGCTTCAAGTTTGTGTACATTCAGTTGAAAATTCTTCTTGCGGATCTCACACTAAGGAGTCCAGGGCCCCTGCTAACCACAGAATGTTACATTCATACAATTAAGTATTCTGTGCTTACAGTGCAAGTACGTGTTTGACGCAGATCAAGTACGCTCAAAATACTGTAAAGGATTTATGCATGCAAACCCAATTTTTTGCTCATCTGGTATACACTAACCGCAATATTTTCTGCTGTGGCGAGTGAAGATTTTTTTCTTCCAGTAAGCAGTGCTATGAAACTGAGCCCAGAGTTGGACGACCTCTGCGAACCCCCCACAAACCCACACACCCTTACCTGGTGTGACTGTGTGAGGACACATCTTCCCAGGGCTGCAGCGTGCATCCGGGGACGTGGCACACCATGGTCCCGCAGCTCCGGTCCAGCCGCTGCAGGAGGGCCTTGGCCATGTTCTCTGCTGCCTTGCGGTTTTCGTGGACCCGCTTCAGCATCATGGTGGTCTCCTCCGAGTCTGAGCCTTCCGAGCTCTCCCCTGGAAGAATTCAAACAGTGATGAAAGAACACTGGAATAGAAGCACACTGGCACAGGAGGAACGCGAGGAGCAGGGGATTGGTGAACCAATGAACTGCCAAGACACAATAATTTGGGTATGATGCATGGTGCTGTCCGGAATACATTTCACTTGGTGAATAAAATGTTTTGGCATCAGTTCAAAGCAATGACTGATTACTGATTGTCTTGTCTAAGCTGCTTTTATGCCACAGCATAAGCATTCTAATTAAGCGACAATTCATATTTTACAAAGAGAAGTTTTAAAAAATGGGATTTACTGAGAAGAATATATCGAAAGTGGAAAGAAACTTTAACTCTAATCAAATCAAAACAATGCCAAACTAATGACAAGATTTCAGTGGATATAAAGAGATAAACCTCCAGAACACAAATCTTTCAGTTCCATACAATTTTCCCCATGCCCAAGGGAGCTCTGAACACCCATTTAATTAATGAATACTCAGAGAGGTGATGGACACAGACACAAGTATGTTGGACCACCCATCTCCTGACCTACCTGTTCCGAAGCCACCGACCCCTGCCGCCCGGCAGTTGGCCAACAGAACCTGCTGCTCTGTCTCCAGCAGCATCAGCAGGACGTCGAAGGCCTCCGCCGCCTGATCGGCGTAGCTGACGGCCAGCTGCAGCGCCGTGTTGTTGCTCTCGTACTTCCCCGTCAGCAGCGTCAGCCGGTCGGCGTTGGACTTGCTCTCTTCTAACGTCAGCTGCAGCAGGTCGTTCTGTGAGCGCAGGTGCTCGATCTTGCTGTGTAGCCGCTCCATCTCCACCTCGATCTCTCGGGCCTTGCTCTCGGGGACCGGCAGGCCGTGCGAGCCCAGGGCCTGCAGGATCTCCTGCACGCTGGAGCACTCCTGCAGCGAGCGGGCTAGGTGCTCAGCTACCTTGGGGTTGGTCAGCTGTAAAGAGACAGTAGAGAAGGATTAACCCATTATTTATGACCACCAAGAACTGTTGAGCCTTTTACTCCCGGTACCACCTCAAGCCCCCCAAATACCCAATGTTTCTCTAAATTCAGTAATTAATTCAATGTGATACAGTGTAGTACAGGTGCTAACGGGTATAAGTAGGAGCCAAATGCCTTTGCTGTGGAAATCAAAGTCGTCACAGGTCATTACAAGTCAACCTCAAGTCACACACCCAGTGAAATATCAAGAGACAAGCTATTCAAATGACCTGTGGTGATGACATTCCTTTGTCATCACCTGTCCTTTGAAACCTGCCACTTTACTTGTGATTTGTCTCACTTTACAATCCACCAATGCAGCCTCAACAAGACCACATCATGTTTTGCAAGCTCTTAAGCTTTGTCTCGTGGTTTGGCCACTCTGCACGGTAATTCAGCCACCCTCCACACGGACTGCACTGGCATGCACAAATGCTAATAAGCAACAACTCTGAATGGAGTGAGTTGGACGGTGCACCAGATGACACCAGCAATAATTTGCTTATGGGTAATTCCAGAAATTAGGAGTCCAAAAGTGTGACATTTTTGTGTCCCTGTTACGTCTGACCTTTGTTATTTGACATGGAAATATCACCGGAATCGATTTCAAACTATTGCTTTTTGTTTGGCAGGTAATTTGCATTCATTCATCACTCTTGGAAATCACAAAATGTGTTCTGAACTTACAAAATTATATGTCAGATGTGACAGGGACACGAAAAAAAAACAGATCCCTAATTTCTGGAATTACCCTTATCCAAAGATTGTTGCTGCTATCTAGGCATGTCCTTGAGTGAATAAGAGCTCCCTAATATAATGTGACAGACGGTGGTAGTTTATGCAATACTCATGGGACGTTTTCGTTTTTGGCTAATATAGGAATGGCTAATGTGTGGTAATTGAAACAGGCAATGGAGCTAGACACTGAAAACGCAGCAGCAAGAACTCACCCCAACGCTGTTCAAGTCCGACCCTGTCACGCCTTTCTCCGAGCCCGATCTCGATGAGCTATCGAGTGATCGCGATGGCTTTAATCGCACCCGCTCGGCCACCTTGGCAACGGGCATGCCGCCTCGCCTCTCGCTACCGTAAACGCCCAGCTGTTCGCCGTTGGGCAAGGCAGAGTTGGCGTTGACGTTGCTGGGATTGGGGGTGGGCCGGTAGCCCGGGGAGCTGAGTTGTTCGGAGGACGACGACGTGTAGCCCTGCTGGTGTTGTTGCTGTTTGAGGTTGCTGGCCGAGGCACCGGGCAATTGGTCAGTATTGCGTGATTGCTGGTCCCGAACCTGTGGTCAAATGGCACACTAAGCATATGAGACTTTGTTTGGCAGGATAATCATCTTAATTTGCTTGATCATCCTAAATGTAAACATCCAGTTTTCTAAAAAGTCACGTTACGATTCTTGTGAATTTTGTGAGCTTCGTTCACGTGACTATTTGTGGCAGGCTATCTGGTGTCATTGTACTTCGACGCAACTGGTCTCTCAAATTGTTGCCTACCAGGGAAACCATGGTGAAATGGGTACAATTCACGCCACATCGCAGAGCGCTACAAAGTATTGGCCTCACTTCATAGCGGCCGATTTATTTACACTGACTTACATTTTACCAAACTAGTTTGAAAGTGCCATATGAAAATTAGAAACCGCTTTTCATCAAAGAAAACTTCGATTTCTCCATGTGAACCAGTTAAAGCTAATAGGCTTATTTGTGATTTTGGCTGGTGACTCAAAGAGCCAATTTTTGTACAACTGCAAAGCATACAACTTTGCTAAGTAAAAAAAAATGGATACCAGTTAAAGTGTTACGTATTGTGTATATCTTGCGACTATTTCCCAGCTTATTTCTGCTTAGCATTTAAATTGGCTGAGCAGTATTTCTCCTTACGGCAGGCCAACATAGGTGGGTCTCTTATCTTGCTAAGCAACAAGTTGTTTTTACCTTCTTCCTGAGCTTGTCCCTCTCGTCCCGGATGGCGATCAGGTTGGCCTTGATCTTCTGCAGCTCGTCTTCCTTCATGGACAGCGTGGTGTTCAGATTCTCATTCTCGTCCCGCAGCACATCCAGCTCCTGCTCCAGGCTGCTGCGCCGCCGGTGCTGGTCCCGCTGGGCATGGCCCTGGAAGCCGTTGGGCGTGGCGGGGGAGTGGTCGGTGGCAGACCCGCCCTCATATTGCAGACGCTCGACTTCCTGGACAGCCTTGAAATGGAAGGGCAGGTAAAATAATCCATTCGGTTGGAACAAAATTTGCTGTTCCTATTTCAGGAGAGCTAGACATTAAAGTGACGTTCATTACCTATGGCAAATTTGGCAGAACTGCTCTGTGCGTAAATTTGTTCAGCTCACCGGCTAAAATGCTGTGTAATGTATATTGCCCTTGACTGCTTCCCAGCTGGTGTTTGGTGTGCAAGAGAAATTCAGTGTAACTTTTTTTTTTTCTCTCAAAGCAGTGTCGTCTTTCAACTTATAGGCATCAGCCCTGAAAGGACCTCTGAAAAACTCCATGGCAGAGATCAGTCAATCATGACTGCTTCCTTATGCAAGGCTGCTTATTCATTTTTCTCTTCTACCGTCATTCCAACAAGATCAGACAACAAGGGAACTCTGTTGAACCTTGACCTTTGCCATCCCCCCAAGTTGAAGAGCCCCCTCGCCAGCAAAAGAACAGACAGACTGGTACCAAGTTTCCAACTGGGTTCTTGCACGCGTTTGACATGCACGCGAAGACAATACATTCCAGAATAAATTCATTGCGCTTACTCAGCGTGCCCGTCATCAAACGCGCATAAACGGTGACGTTTATGCGGTGACTTCATACCACAGGACTGTCAACTTCGTTTGAAAACACGCCCTCTTTTGTTCGCAATCAGAATGGATAGAATATAGAGAGGAGTTTGTTATTGGTGGGGGATCTGTAAGATTGGCACAGCTTGGGCTGCCAACATTCCGGAGCAAAGGGGTCGTGGATAGGGCTAGTTTCTCACCTCTAGAGATCTCTTTTCTACCTGATGGGAAGCACTGGCCAGCTGCTTGATGGTGTGGTCGGCCGTGTCGATGTGCTGCCGGTAGGTGTCGGTCCCCTTGCGCTCCTCCACGGCGCATTCCAGCTCGCCCACTACCCTGGACAGCTCGGCCGATAAATCATTGCACTGATCTGCAAAGTGCAGGAGGGGAAGGGAGAAAGAAAAGCCAAATTGGGATGAGGTACAGCCGATGATATTACCAATTAGTCGGTGACTGACAAGTTCTATTTGTCAAGTCTTTATCTGCACCACACTGAACTCCATGTAACTGATGGAAGAGAGGAGGTAAATTGCTGTATGTGACTCAACCTAACAAAATGAGTCACGAGTCACCAGACCCATATTTGAAGACCTTTCAATGAATCTTGCGCGATGTAAGTCAATAAGAAGCCCCCCCCCCAATTTTTTTTACCCACATAAGGTCTCTTTTCATCGGGATGCCGACATGTGATGCATCAAAACCAAGAGCTCAGTTTACTCTTCTTCATGTGAACTACAGTGCAATAACTGATGACCTTTGGACTCAATTTGTGGGATTGCGTCACATATCACGAATGCAGTTAGTAAATTATCAGTGCGTCACTAGGAACAGTGAAGGAACACAAGACATGATCAAAAGCACAGATCTGGACTGACAAATTGACCAACTGGAGCGAAATTTACACGAACTCCAGGGTTTTGATTTACAGGCCACACCAGGACTGAACAAAAGACGAGGGCTGGCAGACAACTACTGGTACATCAACCAATGCCTGATCCACTTTACAGGGGGAAAAAATAAACCAGCGTGATCAACAATGGACAAAGCACGAACAAAGAAACCCTTGATGCCTCACAAGAGACAGACTCTATCAAACTGAGTAAATATCCCAGTGTTGTTATTCGACTTGTTGAAGCTACCACTGCATTGACTTAATAGCAACACAAATCAATGGCAACATTCACAGAGACAGAAATTGAGCCGCAAATAACATGTTGCCCTCCCCTGAAAACCTGAAACCTTATCCCGTTTTTCAATTAGCCAGGCTTGAACAATTCTGACATTCCATCCGCTGGGTCATCCCAACAACTGTGCATATTTTCTCCCCGTGAGAGGCAGGGCCTCTTTTTTGGATTAGCCAATTTATCATGTACCGATCACATCGGCATGCACAGGGCACTCAAGGGGTAACAGTGACATTTATACGAAGGCACGATTTCCCTGAGCCCGACTGGGAGGAGGGGGGAGGGTGTGTGAGGGTGGGGGTTGATATGGATGGTCGAGGGGCTGGCAACAACAGCATCCTTTTTTTGTTTTATTTGAAAGCTGAAAAAAACTGCGGACCAAACAGCTATTCCGTGGCATGTTGCTAACCAGGACAGAACCTGAATTGGCTTATTAGGAGACAGTTTCACTGGGGTGTCATCACACAAATTATTACATGCAGCTCAATTGTCAACTACTGTAAGAGCCCCGAGCTGGACCAAGAGAGGGCGCAATTTTCCTAGCAATGCAGGCTCCTTTGGCTGGAACTGCACATTGCTGGTTTGTGAATGACTACGAAATGCACGGTCACATCACAACCAACAAAATGAATGAACGATCACTCCCGACCAACATGGCTCTTTTCAACCGATGGGGGGGGGCTTCTGCTCAAAGCTGATACTGGTTAAAACATGATCTGGAGTAAGCAATTTGTGATCCTTAATAAGCAATTTGCTCATACAGAGAACTCAGTCTTAGCAACAAACTGGTCAATTCCCCTAAAATGACCTACATCTGTCCATGAAAATTTCAGCTGATTTGTTGGCGTCGTTAGACAATGGGGCAACTGCTAGTGTAAGGTGTTGATAACGGAACAGAACTAATGAATTTTGGAATGAAGTCTGGCCTCCTGATTGGCATGCACACAGCTGACTGTCAGAATTAAGCGCAAGACCACACACTGTCTCTGGAACAATTCTCATCTTATCCAAGGGATGCCACATTTTAGCACCTTTTTAATTGCCCATGATTAGCAGCTTCCAAGTTAAAGAAGGTCAAAGTTCAACCAAGGAATGAGCTTGCCCAATATCTGTCAGAGAGGTTGAGTGACAGGATCTGACAGACACCGACAGCTGGCCAGCAGGCCACAGATCATGAGACTGTTACCAAACCTTTGGATTAATGTATCAGAGGGCAGGGACCAGACTACATGTACAGTTCCAGTCCAGACTGAAAATGTCAAGGCATTGGACAAAGGCAGATTCCACTAAGACAGGATGTGTGATCTTGACAGACGCCACAGGTCACAGGGATGGTGTGACAGGCATTTTTGACAGAAGCTCGGCACTCGGCAAAGCCAGTTGCAGGAGCCATGATAATGAATACTGGGTGAGACAGATAAAAGAGTAGCCAGCAAGGTCATTTTTTCTGTTCGAGAATGTTCGTAAATTTTTCCCCGACCTCACAATATGCTGAGATTCAAGTTGCTGATTCAGGTTGCTCTCAACTACCACTATTTTTCAAGCTGTGTCCTTCAGTGCGTGCTACATTCGGGCCACCTCAACCTTCAGACTCTGTAACGGATCCAGATTGTACGGTAAGTCAGTCATGGTGACTGACAGACAGACCACAGGGCTACAGACAGACAGAGAGGAAGACAGAGGGACGGAGCCTACCAATGTTAGCAGAGTCACTGCCCTGAAAGCTGCCGTTACAGCTGCCGCCGCTGTTGCTGATGTTGCTGTGCGGACTTGAGGCAGACTGTGAGAACTCATCTTCTTCCCTGCAGAGAACAAACAAATATGCAGATATATGCAAATGAGGTCAAGCCAATTGGGTCAATGGCAGTGGTGTGTTACAGGTCAATGGCGATATTCATGTGATATTCATATTTGGTTGTGGTTCTAAACAAACAGCAAACCGAAGACAACAAACAGGCCGATATGCAAATGGACAGGCCATATATAAATACGGTACATATGGTATATAGTCATGATTTACAAATATGCATATATAGCCCAGCAATATACGGCTGCAAAAAATGAAATGTCAATATTTGAACATCAACACAATCTCAAGTTATTTGTTCCCTGACTAATGGCCATGAAGGAAGCCTGGCCCTGGCAGTGTCCACAAGACTGCCAGACGGTATCAACATGCGCACCGTCAACTATTCACCGCACGATAAACAGAAGCTTGAGCAGGCCAACACGGGCTGGAACGCCAGGCACGGTTCCTCGACCAAATCAGAAGTGCGCAGCACGCACAAGTACCACCAGCAAATATGTTTCGAGTGCGATGGCAAACCTTTCTCCACGCGTGATCTGCAGTTAATGTACGCTTGGGCCGTTGCTCACATACTGTTAACATGGCCCCAATGCCACATAAAGGGCATGTATGTTCATTTCTTCAATACACCTGAGTAAATATGTGCAATCATTTTACAATACCTGACCCAGAGAGAACAACTGGAAAAAGGGTAAAACAAATGTATGATTTCCTACACGCCATATGCTGCTCAACCCTAACCCACATAATACGACAAATTACTACTTGTAGTAACATGTAGTAATCAGTGCTACTGCTTGTCAGAGGACATGACCTTATTGTTCTCTGAAGCCATAAAATACAACAGATGAGACAATGTACCATACAGTGCTGTGGCACTAGGAATGCATGGCTTTATTGTTCTCTGTACAAGTAACAATGGAAGTAACCTAGCCAGAAGTAGTAATCTGTAGTGCTAGGTCCTTCAGGCTCAGGCTACTACTTAGTATTTTGTAGTACTGAGTAAAGCCAAACAATATGCTTGGTGGTTAGGGTTAAACATATTGTACCATCGGTCTTGATTTGATCTGGATCTGCTGGACCACAAAATCCAACATTAACAAACATGAAAGGAGAATGTTCATCCATAATTGGGCCATGGCAATTGATTTCATGTCACCCACTGCAGAATTTGATGAACAGCTAGAATGTCGCCAAGTTTTAATTGGGCAATTTGGATGTACAGCACCGTGCATCAATCCAATGACTGTCTGACTGAATTAGTACAAATACAACTGGTGTGTGCAATCATGTCTGAATTTAGTCCGCGGTGTATCACGGTAACCAAGATTCTCAATGTTTTCTTAGTTTGGGCACCAGGAAGAGTGAGCGAGACAATCAAGAAAGTTTGACCAAACTCCGATTCAAAGTCCCACTCCTTTCAAGCACACCGTCTTTTCACTGGGATGGCGGGACCAAGTGGGTCTCAGACGAATATTGTCAGGATTCATGCACACCATGGAAACAAACAAAGTCCACTTTGGTCTGAACTTTTCCTAGCGATAAGTCTTCCCTGCGGTGAAGAAAAATGCAGCAACAGCTTCGGCTGTCCTGGATACTAAATATTCCATAATAATTGAATATTTGTCTTCGCAATCAAATGGCATTCGCAGCAACATGGTATCGACCTTTGCTTCTGAACCTCCGGTACGAAGAAGAAAAAGAAGAAATGCCGACTCGATAAACCCCCCCAAAAAATCAAACCACAACTTTAATAAAAGGCACGTCAGAAACGTGAGAAACAATGCAGAGGCATTGCAACACAGCTGAGCAATGTCGCACTCGGGGAACATTCTTGGAGGCAGAGAGAGCGGATCACATTATTGGAACTGACTGGGGAGGAAATTCTATCACACACTCCCCCTGTGGGGGCTGGTGATGGGCCCCGATGCCACGTCCAATTTCTGCCTCATTCCTTGCTCCCCGGGTCCGCCTCCTCGCCCCAGCAAATTACTAAGCTAGCTGGCCGTTGCGGTGAGGCAGCTTACCCATTAATCTTGGCTGATTCTGGGACACATATACACACGTCCTCGTGAGATCTGACCTACATGTTCATGTACTTTAACCTTTTTTCTTTTTGTCGGTATAATTCAGACAGAGGCGAATTGAGAAAGACATACAGCATTTCAATCAACAGGGCTACAATTACTGTCCTTGTTGAAACTTCTACAACAGCACTCATAAATACATGTAAGTGTATGTCACTCAAAGAAAGGCTTACAAAGGAATTGTATTACTTAACCCTATAAGGGGGGAGGGAATCCCCCCAACATTTTTTCATCACTGCAGTGCCGTTTTTTTAGGAGTTGAGCATTTAAGAGTTTCAGAGCAAATCCTCGTGGTCATTTTAACATCAATTTTCTGAAAACTGAAGGTTGGTTCGTATTCGCTGTGTATTCCCTGTGTACGCAGCACGAAGGCCTATTTTGAGGTGTCTGCAGTGTGTGAAGGAAAGTGCAGTGTGTAATGTAAATGTGTGGCCTTGTATGCAAATACATGTAATCAAAAAATAATGGATTGTGCATACGCAACAAATGTATGCATATTTGGACAAATTAAAATTTTTCAACTTTTGTCGAATACGCACACGCAGCCGAGACTTGAGAAAACACGAAAGTATGAACGTCAAATGCGGCGTTCACATTACACCCTGCGTGTGTGCAAACGCAGCGAGTATGAACCAGCCCTAAGCATACCGTCCTTACCCAGCATGCATTTTTCCTAGACGGGTCAGCCAGAAATGGATACTTTTTCCAATCCTATGCTCAATGCATGCAAGCTGGCATGCAAGTAGCCTTGAACTTCAGGTGACCATACAAACAAAATCATAGGTCTGATTGAGTTCAAACTTAACATTTGTAATAATACGGAGTGTCTTTACATGTATACCAAGTTTCAAAAATGGGCCAAAATAACCCGGCTCTTTTACGGTCAAAGCTTTTACAGTACAGAATTTAAAAAAATTTTTTTTCAAAAAGTGACTTAAATATTTCAGGTTTTCAGCATCTGCATAGAGCAGACCTACATGTATATACCTGCCAACTGTTCCAACTTCTTCCACTTTCATCAACATCTTCTGAGGCCATGTTAGGAACATCTAACACGGATAATTATTGTGCCAAAGAATGGTGCCTCGTATTTGTACAACTATCAACACACACATCGTGAACTGATCACACGGGTACTGCAGAGTAATGTAAACAGCCTTCCCAGGGTTTTCTGTGTTGATTTATAATCCAGACAAAGAGGAAGCCCAGTTCTGTGTTGGTGATAACATTCCCAATCCCTCATCGAACCGAAGAAGGCTGGCGAGACAAAGTCCCATCTCCTAGAGCTTGCCTCTTGGCAGAAAGAGGGGGGGAAAAAATCAACAACTGGTCTGACAGCAATGGGAGAATATCTACTGGCTGAATGGCATGTAGACTAGGTGTAGACTAGGTGAGAAAAATGCCATGGGCAAATGAATGGGACAACACGGACCCCACCAGGCCATCTGCCTTACGCTGGACGAAGGATGCACATCGCTCTAGTTCTTTCCTTGGCAAAGCTGTTCTCTTTTATGAGAAATCGTGCCATTCATAATTTCGCTTGATGGTTAGTTATTCATTTGAGCCACAGAGGAAAAGAGCGGGGCGAGACTTTCCCCTTGAGACTTAGACAGGAATGGAACATTATTTCCCAAGTGGAGGGACGGTAATTTATTTGAGATAACGTCTTGTTTTTCTAAGGTGCTGCTGGGTTGTGGGGAACTTGTAGGAAGGGGGGGGGGAGTTTAGGAGAGGACACGGGCATGATAAATACACAACGGATTTGGAGTGGCCACAAGATAACTGCGAAGCAAATTACAGTGACGTTTTACATTACTGGCTAGCTGAGTGCATCTAGTGGGATGGGCACGGCATCGCTCGCAAATGCCAACGTGATAAATTGACAATTATTACACCGATGACACATGTCTGCTGCCCATTACAACATGCACCCGAATACACTTTGTACATCTGAACAGTGGGTCTAGTCAAGAAAAGTTAATCATTAAACTCCTAAACTTAACTAAGCAGCTTATTCTAATTTTTTTTTCAGGATACTTTTTTTTTTCATAATGTTTCAGCTTGTAATTGCATCAAGGCTTTTTCTAACCACATAATAAACCTCAGGAGGCATTTATCACATTTAACTAGGGTTGTTGATTTTTTTATTAAAAAAAAATCAGAATTTTTGTTATTTAAATCAGATTTTTTTGATCTAAATCAAACAAATTTAGATTAAGAGATTGAAATCAAGTAATTTGATTGAATTCACAAACCACCATGTCTTAGCATTGGTGAAATGCATGCAGAATAACACCTACCAGTACATGTGCCCGCAGAGATGACACTTCCTTCAGAGGCAAGTACATGCACATGCATGTATACCAGGGATAAAATGCATACCTGGTTTTAAACCTAACTCTAAAGTTGGGACAAAAGTAGAGTTCGCAAGAATTTGTTAACAGGGTACTTATACATGCATCAAATGACTAATGAGAGAGAAACATGCACAGAACAACAGGTGCATGCATTTATAGTTTGCATGCTACGTGTGTGGGTACAATATGCTGGTACTACCTTCCTCTGTGTGCAAAAAGCAGTCTCATTTTGTTTGTGATCCAGCTCCGACAGAGTAATGACTTAGGCTTGATTGAAAATCACTTTATTACATGTAAGGGCAACATTATATTAAGGACTAACGTTTCTAATCTCCTTGTAGAGATATAAAAGGTTGATGTACACTGATATTTTACCATGTTCAACCATGGAGGAAGGACACAGAAGGAGTTTGAACTGCCCGGGCTGTAACAACTGACCAATTACTGTTTCTGGCATGCCCAGTATGTTCATAGCCAGAGCGCAGCGAACACTTGCTGCACACCACCTGTTTTACAACCATAAGCCCCCTTTGTACCCTATGATCATCGCCACAATTTTTCACTGGTAACCTGCATCCTTAAAATGCTGTACACTGCAGTATAGGAAGTTGAATATTCGTGCCATCGATGGTGCTTGGTGTGACTTAAAAACAAGATCAAATTTAATGCTTGTGCAGTTTGCTTGAGTTAAGCTGTGTGCCCTTAGTGTTCATGCGCAGTCATTGCCAGTATCAAATGCTTTTTTTCTGGGGTATTGGGAACGAATAGCCAAGTTGTTTATAAAATATTGTGTTTTATTTGCTTTATTTGAATCATTAATTATTATTATTATAATGCAGGCAGTTATCAGGCATTTTTGGAATGTTTACTATTGTTTGTCTGACCGGGCGGCAATGCTCATCCAGCACTTTGAAGTGCCAGAGTTCTAACTCAATTTGTGTCATTCCTCTATAGTTAAACTCTGAAGTGCGCAATTTAAATGAAGTAAAATTAAACCATGATTGTAAATCCTTTGCATCAAAAACACTTGCTGAATCCAAAAAGCCGATCTAAATTGAAACAAGTGGACAGAATATAACATAAAATCTTGCCAACCCAGATTTTGTGTAGAATTCATACTTCATTAATACTAGGAACCGGAAGACTCACAGAGGGGGGATTTCCTGTTTAAAATGTGCAAAACCAGCAAACATTTTCAATCAGTAAAAAAAAAAAAAAATCAAAACATTTTTGTCTTTCTATCCAACAAACTGAAAGTGCCTTTTACTCCACACCAACCTTCTAATGTGTGTGGTCCAAAGATGGAACATTTCCCAGATATGCATGTACAGTATTTTTTCAACGCATCTACTGGCAGCTTTGTCATCATTGTACAATGTACATGTACATGTAGCTCAATGCTAGCGATAAGGGAAAAGTGGTGCTGGCAGACTGCAGCTATCAAAGTGTATGACGCCACTGACGTGGAATGCCGACTGCAAGACCCAGACAAAAATATTATCACTCCTGGTGATAAAGCATGTGAAATGCTGGTATTGTGGGTTATCCAAACCTGCTGGAGATTAGAATGGAGTTTCCCCAAGTAAAGATGCATAATTCTGACGGGCACTGTCTTTCCCATGACAAAAATTTTACCTGAAGGTTATTTGTGACCTACTCCTAAGAAATCAGGACAAAGTACATGTGGCTGGAAAAAAAAAGAATTAAAAAACAAAACTGAACTGCAACGAATTTCAAGTATGTTTGAGTTCTCCTGAGCATACCCACAACAAACATACCGGTCTTTAGCTTTCTTTGATCATCCAATGAGCAGGGTTTTTGGACCTATCGTTCCCCTACGTATTCAAATTTCATTTTATAAACCATCTTTATTGTGTGTAATTTTGGCCAGGTTCCGTGGGAACAGGTCACATTTTTGTCATGACCTTTGCCTTACAAATTGAACCCACTAGTACTTATGTTAGTCAAAGGTTACTACAGCAAGTTTCCACACCATAACAAACCAGCCACCTCATAAAAATGCCGGATTATATTTCACATTTTTTCAGAGGTCAATTACTGCAGCTGAAACTCAGTTTTCTTCATTTCCTTCTGAACCGAAAGACAAGCTCTACAGTGACTGCAATATTCTGACCAGGTCAGAGTTCAGACCTGCGGACAGAAAAAATAGCCCTACGGCTAGAGGTTCGTGTTACAATTGTCAACTTTCTTGGGGGCTGAAGGTGTGGATCATTATACTCCCGCTGGGCTCTGAAAATAACTGTCATCTGTCAGACATTAGATCCAAATCACTCCAACTTTTTCTTTGGATTTCTGGCCAATTTAGATCTGTTTGTGGTCCTAAAGGGCTGGCTAAATTCAGACAAGTACCCTGGGGCCTGTTGAGGTATCAGATGGGGGGAGGGAGAGTTGGGAAAGAGGGTGTTTGGTTGAAGTTCAAGAACATTTAATGGCCTGTCTGGTATCCCGCCACTAAGGCAACCATGGCATGGGAATTTGCCAGAGAGTCTTTTGGGTTATTTGTCAAAGGGCTTTCTGGATAAAAAACAAGCTTAGAGCTGCTGAGTGAGCTTTGCTCCCTTTGGAGACTTCCATAGGGCACATGTAACTCAACAAAAAACAGTTTTTGCGTGTGTGAGTCACAAATGAAATATTTACGGGAGAGCCTTACATTTGAAAGGTTGCCGTGGTTTATTGACATCCATCAGCAACCAGCTTACATAAAGCCAGACAGGTTTGGGAGGCAAAGCTCTGACCGGTTCCAGCAACAAACTACATGGGTACTTCCGCATGAGTCAGAGAAGAAATATGTTCACAAAGTTGGAGCACAGAAAACCTCTGTGCAGTTCTCGTAAATCCAAAGATAACAATCTCTCTGGAAACCTGATCAACTTTTACCGTTAACAAAGAAAACTGAGCAGAGTGGGGGTTGAACCCCTGACCTCCCAAATACCAACTTGTGCTCCGCTAACTGAGATACAGATGTGCCTTAGATTAGTCTCCTACATGTACATGTACACTGGGCCCAATTTCACATACATGTAGCTATTTTTCTGCTGGGAAATTTACGTGCTTACTCTGAAGCGGTTGAGATGTTGCAGTTTGTGCTTAGCGAATTATTTCCATATTTAACAAAATGTCGATGCTCTGCAGTTCAGCTGCACTGACCAGTGAGCTCTGTGCGAGTTTTTAACGACTTGGTGATTTGTGCTCACCTGAATGCGACGCCATGTGATCTGTCTATTTTCTTGTTCAGCTCAGCTATGACGCTATGCAGCTCCGTTATTCTCTCCTCGTACCGCACAGCTTGCTGGTCTAATCTATCTTCGTTTTCCCGCAACAGCCGTGATCTCTCCACCTGCGTGAGGGACCACAAGTTTATTTGCAGGTGAAAACAAACACACTCTGACGCTCTACTAACCGAGCTACCAAATATCATTTTGGCCATGTCCGACATTTGACAGTATGGTTTTGCAACGTGATTGGAAGAAGTAAAGATGCATATTATTTAAAGATATCTTAAATGAAAAGCAATTACAAAAATCATACATGAAACAATGTCATGAAGTACAATGTAGCCTTTTTTTTTTTTGCTTGGACGTCTTCAAGCTTGTCTTGCTTCAACTCAGTCACTGACTTGACCATGAATGTTTTTTTTGGGGGGGGTGGCTTTTTTGATCCACAATTTTAATCCAAGTTCAATATGGTAATTACCAGTCAATAATAAAAAACTCAGCTATCCTGTTCCCAGATCACGACATTGAAAAAAGGCAGAGAAAGAAAATAAAACGCAGACTTGTGGGGAATTGCTGATTAATTAGAGGTTTCATACACTGAGCATACTACCCAGCCACCCATTTAACAACGCACTACAAGAACATTTCAAGTGATATTGATGGCCAGGTTCAAGTTTCAAGGATGTCAGTCCAGCATGAATATCGGTAACTGGAGTGTTAAATGCCGGGTAACAACAAACAGGTATGGCCAGGCTTTGGAACAGGCAAAGAGATTGCACTTTCCGGTTTAATCTGTACTTGCTTCCGTTGTGCTCATCACCGCCGCTGTGATATCCCCACTCCAAGCAGAAAACCGATAGGTTTCTTTTTACAAATTAGCGGGAGAATTAGGAGAGTACATAGGGCCGAGGCTCCGTTATTCTCGGGTGCGCTTAATAGACAGACACGGCTGGACGGAGTTCCCTGAGGGAACTGCATGCATTATCTGACACCTTTTTGGAATTCCGGGCCTCGTGGTAACAACCACGTTCAGTTCCGGTGGAGCCAGTCTTGCTCGGCTCGCCCCAAAGTCTAAAAACTGAAGGGGGGGGCAGAGGCACAGTACATCCCAATATAAACCTCCCCTTTACTCCATTGGATTGCGGGAGTCCACAAAAAAATACACCCGACTACAGTTTTTTTCCTGTGTGTACTTAAACTCATGATTAGAAGGAGATAAGATGAGGAAGAGAGGATAAAAAATCTATAAATTGGCCAGGAGCACGGGAAATTTGATTCTGTGGCGGTGTGAGGACTAGCCTCCCCCCCTCAAAGTAAGTAGATGGGGGGAAATGAGAAGTTGGCGAGCCAGCTTGTCTGTGCAGTGTTGACATTCAACGATCAGTTGCTGGACGGCGATACCCTTTCCACTGTTTTAATTGATGCCCAAAATAACTCTCGCCAAGTCTGTGACCCCTTCCTTCTACTCTGCCTACAGGCTTCTGGTACATATTTCCACGTGTTGTTTTTCTTCTTCTTTTTAAAAAAAATGTCTTTTGGGAAAGCCATCGGAACTGGACTGTGTGATCCGTACTGGTCTTGCTTGCCCGCGTGTTTGCCCGCATCCGCAAAGCTTTTGCAGATGAAGAATTTTGATGGCTTTGACACACTTTGTTCAGACCGGCCACACTTGGGTTACCCCCGTCTGCAACAAATATGCGGGCGATACTTCCCGTATGCTGACTTGGAATGCAGCGGAATACTTGAGGCAAACAGTGATTTGGAAAGAAGGGAAGATTTATAAGGAATAAATTCACAACTACACGCAAATGCCAACTGTTCAAGCCTGCAAGTTACTGCAAAGTGTCTACATTGAGACACCATAACCCCCAAAACATAAACCTAGTGCATATGTAGTGTTTCAGGTGAGCATACTCTGACCTTAGGAGACCGAGAAAATGTATGTTCGAGCTCTTGTTTAACAGATAAAGGGAAGTGAACACTACATTTGTACATGTAACATCCATTAGCTTCTGTAAGGCAACCAATTCCCCAACGAGGCAGGGAGGAATATCTTACATTTGTATTTAACATCCATCTTATCGTTTTCAAATTCTGTGCATTGTGGGACCGGTTACAGTGTCACGTTTCAAAGCTTAAGACCAGATCATGCGACCTGTTTCAGGATTTTGTCTGCATACTTTATTAGTAACACAGGCAGTCCAGTGATTTGTTCCTCTCTGGGGCGTCACGTTCAAATAACGTTTACAGGTCGAAAGAACTTCAGTTTTTAGCAACTGTCTCTTCTGATTATCTTGCATCCAAGGAAGACACCAGTTCATAATCTGCCCCTTTGGGACATGTCAGGACAAAAAAGTACATTCCTACCTGTGCCTTGCCCAGTTTCTTGTCCAGAACATCTCTCTCGGCGCTGACTCTCTGTAGCCGGTTCGTCAGCTCGATGATCTCTCCCTTTAACGAGGCTAGGGCAGCCAGGTGTAACTGCAGAAAAAGTAACGGAAACAAACGAATCAACCATTTTGTGCCACGGCAAAATGCTGATATCTAAGTGAGATCCCCGGTCTGCATTTTAAGAGTCAAAAGGGAGTGTTCTCTTAAGTGCACGTGACAAATGGATTTAAAACCTGCTTAAATTGCAATCAATTTCTATTCTGGAAGTCAAGTCAATTCACAAGGACAAGTAATCGAAGGTCCCATGGAATTCCCTATAACAGCTCATTCCACGACTTGAGAATGGGCATGAGAGACTTATAATAGGCTTGTGACAGACTGGGCCACACTGCTGCTGAGATCTCTCATCACCAATGCTCTTCCCCAACTTGTTCAGTTTTGTTACACCATTTGCTCTACGGTTTCACACGGCGGCGGCTATCAACCTCCTTGGGGACGCGTAATCCACCAGCCAGATTACAGATTTCTCTGAAGTGAAAATAGGATTATCAACTGATTATCTAGCTGGACTGGACACTAATCCCAGCTTTGTGACAATAGAAGGGGAGGGTCATCCAGAAATCTCTGCTGCCCCCCCCCCAAAAAAACACCACCAGCATCTGCTCTTCCTGTAGCTTGCAAGTTCCAACGGGAGATGATTAGTTAGTTACATTACAGTTCTGGCCCTCCCTTTCCAAGCAGTTTGTCCGTGTGCAAATCATCACACCCTCAGAGGCAAACTGACATTTACAGTGACACAAAAGGATTAAAAAAGAACCAAAAAAACCTTTTCTAACAATGGATCCATGCAGAAATACCAAATTATACACGTATCTTGATATATAAACAGCATTTTCTTAAGCAACTCTTCCACACAATTTCTTTTCCCTGTGTCAACTTCTGAACTGTATTATGAAATATAATATTTCAGAAATTTCAGAGGCACTCGTGGAAAATTTAATGCAAAATTTAGAAAAGAGAAGTAAATGACAGCTTCTTTGGGCACAACATGGTAAGATGTCATATACATGTACATACATAAATTGTCAAAGATATCCAGCTTACAATTAATGCTTTGTACTTGCAAGTGGTACAAAAGACCCACAACAACAGGGGAAAAAATCTGGTGCAACGCGAAAAGTACCTTGACCTTTCAAAATGAGAAATAAACCAACAAAATAAATCTCCATGAAAGAGTATTCACACAGGAAAAAGAACAGTATTCAATTCTCACTAAACAGTGCACACAGCAATGTGAAAGAATTTCAAAAATCAAGGCCACATTCCACCGGATATTAAACTCTTTGTCGTCATTGAAAAGACGGTTTCAGTACTAATACTATTAAAAGAAAGGCATTCTCCAATGCAGTGCATGTACATGCGCCTCACAGCGTGACCACAGAGCCAGCAAAATATCACCAAGTGTTGACATGTACTACACTCTTCAGCCAAGATATTTCTCCTTTGTCTACACCAGTTTTCAGAGTCAGTCAGGTATGCACATTACAGGCATCTTGAGTTATTATTTGGTTTATGACCACGAAAACACTGTAAACATTCATGCGAGATTATAGCCTTCAACACCCCAAACTGTTGGCAATAAGAACCACATTGTAATCTTTGTGTAGTCACAGACTTACCAAACCAATATAAGAACTACTTTATCATGTGAAACTTACATACAAGAGAAATCACCCCAATTCAACTCACGTCACAAATTTTGCAGGATTCTCTGTTCACCATTTTGAAGATGAGAGGTTTAAGTTGAGCATCATACATGTGATCAGATGTTCCCAGCTCGGTTCATGAATCGCCAGCCACAGTACTACAGTAGCGTCCCATCAACTGGACTGGGTAAAAAATCAGTCAGAGCACAGATTTGACAGATCTGTTGAACAAATGCCGAGGACAATGTAGGTCGAACAGTAAGTCTTCCTTTTCTGGTCTTGTGTACACGTACTCAGAGTTTGCTGTTCGAATATTACCAAAGCAGACATGGGTACTTGTGAGCGAAACTGTTGTGTTCCCTTTTGGTCTCTCCTTCCACAGTATGACTTAGATCAGAACAAGACTGGACTCCAAAAGACCTTCGGCTACCACCAACAAGGACCCGACAAGGAGCCTGCTGAAAAGGTCTTGATCCCATTACATGCACCTCAATCAACCGTTTTACTTCCTAATGCCACTCCATTAGACCCCATCAGCATAACAATGGGCCATGGCTGGACACTGCAGGCAGCCCCTCCAATCATGCTCCAATCAAGGCCTCAAATTGTTGGCCACTCTGCCGGCTTGGCTTGACCTGACCAATTCTTACAGGGGATCCAATCAAATTACGGGCGATAATCTCCCTGGATTGCCTCCATGTTGGCAGGATTTCCCTGAAACCCAATTCTCTTCAGCACTATTAATGGCACTGGGTCCCCTCCTGTCCATTCACACCTGATCAAAGACAGTCTTTTGCAGATGAAATTAAGTCCTGCGTGGTTTGTGTCAACAAGTTTACAACTACTAGCCACAGTAACACACTGATGAACACATGTATTTATACTGGTATGGTACCTTTATTATTAGTAGAGAGCTCTCAATGAAGTAAATAGACCTCGTCATTCTTCCATAACCACATTAACACTAATTCAAAAGGAAAACACAGCCTCGCTCTATCCATAGAGCTACACAGCTCTATGCTCTATCTAACCAATAACCAGTACCGAAAGGGTGATATCGTGGGCACAGACATCTCTATGATAAACAGAAACATACAAATCACACCCATTTCTGGAGCACCTTAACAGATAACTTCTTCACTTGGGAATATCTACAGAAACAATTTCAACTTTGTGAGACATTTACGCGTAGAATGGCCAATATCATTAACAAAGCTCTCTACCATGTACCAGGGGTAAATGTACACGGATGTGAGTTACAAAATACTAAGGAAGTCCTTGAATCCACACTACATGTTTCTTTTACACGAACAGTCATCTATTTGGAGAGAACTGCTCAACTTCGGCTTGCCATGCCCTGTGTAGCAACCTCAAAGTACATGTATTTACAGAGGATCTCATGAATATAGTCAACTGGTGTAATGTGTTATGTGAATTGTGTGACCCAATGCGCAAACGCTTGTTGGACACAGCTGCTCTGTTCTGCTGTCTTCTACTGTGTTCCACAGCATGGCAGCTCCTTCCAAGTTCCATTGGATTGAATTTTTCGGTAACATAAATACCAAATTTTTAAAGTTCCCTGACGACTTAAGAAAATAACAAAACAGTTTCCAAATACAGCAAATTTTACACAGGATGGGAGAAAAAAGCAGGGAATATCAGAATTGTTTGTAAAGTGAAAAACATGACAATCACATTTAACTGTGAAGACAGAAGTCAACTTCAATTAAGTTGCCGTCGTAATAACAACGAAGCCGGACTGCAAACCTACACGAAGGATTTGATCGGCAAGTGGGAACAGTTCTATACCGTTAATTACTTGGCCTTAGCGTTGGGCACATCAATCAGCCTGTCTCGTGAGTTTCTCGCAATATCTTAAATTACACATAGGTTTCAGAATGCAATTCTGTGTCGGTACACATTACTTCCGAATGTCTGATTCTAAAACTAAATATTCAAAGAACATCAATTTTCAGCACGATCCTTGGCAGTTCCAACCAATATGCCTAAGACCAACGTGTATATATTGTGCAGGCCTCTCTTTTCTCCGAGATGGCGGGTCACCACTCGGATGCATAATTTGAAGGAGCATATTCGGAAGCTAGCGTTTGCTCCTGTCTCAAACACAGTACATCAACATGGGTATTTATCAAGGACAGATTTCCTCCACCAGGGCCTTGTGGGATGACCATAATTCCATCACTAAAGAGCTGATGACTAAGCTTTTCGGACTGTTCAGAACAAACCTGGGAAAATTGAAGTGAACCGAGACTTAATTAATGATCAGGAAGTAATCTAGGATCTAAACCAAAAAAAAAATCATAAATCATTGCATTACCCTTAACTAAAAGTGACAAGTGTCCGAACACAATTTCAGAGCAGACTTCTCAGGAATTAAACTGGAAAATGAAAAAACTTACAGGTAATTAGAAAACATCATTTTTTAAAATTGACTTATGAGTCACGACAGTATTTCTTCAAATTCAATTTTCAGTGCCTTTTAAATAAAATTATAGAGTAACGGATTACACAAAGGAAACTGTCCCTCATAATTTCACATTTTTACAGTATTATATATACCATAAATCAGAACCAAAGACAGAATGAAGGAAATGAAAGGCAAAACGTTGAAAACATTTCAAAAACCTTGTCAGTCTAAACCTGTTCTTGATATTTCATTTGTACATCCAGATCCAGTGACAAGAAAAGAAAAATTTTCTAAACTTCTTTAATCCTGAAAATTATGGAGATCAACACAAGGTAAACTGCAGAAAAAAAATCTCTGTATTGAACAAACCTTTATTTCCTTCTTCACATAAAAAGTGTAAAGAAGTACAAGTCTGTTGCGTGCGCTTCACGATAACTGTAGACAACTATGCATTGTCAGTTAACAGAGCAAAGAAAAATTCACTGCAGGCTCATAATCTGGCACTGACAGAAACCTCCAGACAAGTTTATCAGTCATGATGGATGGCATAGACTGCAGTATGTCTGGCAATCATTAAACCATGGACCATGGTCCCTGATTAAACAGAGAGGTCTGGACACAAGACTCATGGCTGTAACACATTACCCTTCCACTGATCGATGGTCTTCAATGTTGAAACAGGGATGTGCAATTTCTTGGATTTTATTTGCAGATCCTTATATTGACCCCGTGAGGTGAAGTGACCAAGCTTGATTTTGTGTTCTCAATTTCTCTTCCAGCAACAGTCTTGAAACCAGGTCAAAGTTAATGCAGCTGCTCAGAAGAAAGAAAAAACAACCGGTTCAGCACAAACCTTCACTTGGGAGACACAACCACGAAACCACATTGAAACACTGTCGCCGGCAATCTCTTTAATACTAGGCAAGTATTTTCAAGTTTCAGCACAAATTCTTGGT